TATATATATATATATATATATATATATATATATATATATATATATATATATATATATATATATATATATATATATATATGTTTATCCATTTGTTACCTCTGTTTGCTGCTTGGAAATTTCACTGATTGACTGAATCTCACGAAGTCACTCTTAGCATTAAAATATATATATATTTATTGTGTGTACAGTGGTTTTGAACTAGATTTCGTAACAGATAGTTTCCTTTATTCACTGACTCCAAGGTCCCTCGTCAAAACCCATATTGTAGGAGTTTCTCACGGACTTATAGGGACTTACTGCGATATTCGTAATCCGTTTTCGGCCATAAAGTCGATGAATATGCACTCACACATAAAAATAGTATAGCCGAAAGGATACATATAAAAATAATAGCATAGTCAAAGAAATTTTTTTTACAAACTGCAAAAACGGATGCTGTTATTTCGGCAGTTACGTCCCGGCATGTGGACGTTTCCTTTGTTTTTTTTAATGGCCAATCACTATAGCTAAACTTATAAGCAGAGCTAAAAATCCATGATAGGAGTGAAAGGAGAAGAGACCTTGAGTTCTCGATGCTTCTCCATAGATTCCCTCTCGATATTTCTTTTTAGAAGTCATATTTGCTGCAACGAATGATTGAGTCTTCAGCTACTTCAACAATCTCAACGATATGAAAGTTGGCTGCACTTACTGGATCAAACTCTTCAGCCGGAACTACTAGTTGTGTATTACCGTTAGACATAAAGGAATGAATATCTGATTGACTGGAGCGGAACTAGGATCTCCTAGGACTCACTTAAAGGATTCGCTTGAAGTTGTTCAGGTTCGATCATGTCTGCTCTGATTGAACAGTTGCAGATACGTCCTCAAAGAAGTAACGACCAATGACGTTCATTTCTAATTTTTTCTCGAAGGAAATTTTTCCCTGTCATGCGACATAACAATTGGTCGAAGAGACAAGACGAGATATGTATGTGAACGTTCGATTAATTTTTTTCTAATTCTATTAAGTAATGGAATGTGTACAGAAGTTCACGCCCGTTGTATGTTGATTTCCCAGCTCACCTATCTATAGCTATTTGCAGCGGGTGTGAACTTTTGCTGCACGTAATAGAATTACAGACGTATGGCTTATCCTGTCTCTTCTTTGCTTGTTACATCACATCCCATAGGAAAATATGAAGATATACACAGGAAAATATACCACATACACATCCCAAGGTAGTATATCCTAGTCAAATCTGAAGCATTACGCAATGTATCTGCTGTCTTTCTATTGATAATGTGTTTTGATGTTCCCTTCTACTGTCACAGTGCACTGTCAACACGATATGCACCTATTTTGTGAGAATTTTGCCCAGGAATTTAATAATTTTTAATCAGAATTCACCCGAAAATATAAGCGGAAATCAGTATATTCACATAAGTACTACTGGTTTTTTGGCCTTCCGGAAGTAACTTTCCGCAAGGAGCACTTCGTCGTGCATTATTTGTACATCATAATTTGTATAATTAGTAGTGTTGCTGGACGGCACCTGGCTTCGAGCTTATTTTTCTTCGTTAAAAGTTTTCCTTCCATTCGAGAAGTTCAGAAGTTCCACTTCAGCTTACATTATCAATGTCGTGAAAACGAAACCTCAAATAAATTCATTCACATTGTAAATTAATGCTAATGATGCTATGAATCACTCTTACCATATCTACATTCCTTAAAATTGTTTCCCACACTTTTTTGTTGTTATCTAACTAATTTGCATTTTTATGTTTAAACCCTTAATTTCCCATGTCAATCATTCTGTTTAATCTTGTTATAATGCTTGTACCATATTCGGTGTGTTTCCGATACTTGAATTCTTCATGTAAACCACTCCCATTTCTTAACATATATAACCTCGGTCCAAAATCCGGGCGAGAAGGCTTGGAGCTGCTCTCCTCTTCGAAGGTGATCGGCTTCTTCTTCTGTTTATTCTTCGCTTCTACGGACATTGGCGGATTTTTATCAATCTCTTCTCACGATAAAGGTTAATATCCCTTACTGTTGCGTATTCACAAGACAAATCGACCTCCGGACAAACACTTTCGCACTAAATGCTTCATTTA